CCCTTTTCTTGCCGTTTTCCCACTCTGGGCAAATATTGCCCCACATGCACCATGCTGACAGCTGTTTTGTCATTTTCGTGTCACATCACAGAGTGCAAGCCAATGATTTACCGCAAGCAGTGTGTGACTGGACAGGGAACCAGCCACAGCCAAGGGCATTGCATATTAGCTGCACATGTCAGTAGAGGACTGTATGTGTAAATATAGTGTAAATGAAATGTTAGAATTCTGGAAATACTTATATGTCTAAGTTTAACTAGCAAGAAAAACTTTGATCTGGCCTTCTCATCTGAGGTAATTTATGATGCATCCAAGTGCGTGGCCTTCCCAAATTACAAGGCCAGGCATCTCATGCACATGTCAGTTGGCCTACATGTGTAAATAAAGTGTATATGCAATGTTAGAATTCTGGAAATACATGTACTTTAATACAGGTATGCTAAAGTGCGCTGAAACTAGCTTAGAAGATTTTTATTCATGCTACAGCCAAGTGCCTGCCTTCAAGAGTTGACGAGACTGAGTTGACTTGGGACCGAGTTGACCTGAGATGGAGTTGACTCAGAGCGAGTTGTTTCCGGACCAAGTTGGCGACTGACTTCACACCGACTCTGATGGGTATACAGTGACATTGCCATGTTTTGCTGGACCATATCCAAATCTTTAAAAAGGCAATTTGTAGAGTCGAGGGTGCTCAGACTATTATTGACTGATCTACATCAACCTGGTGCAGTCACGGCAATTACCGTTTCAAAAATTCAAATATGCACAGCATGCCAAAGTGAAGTTGGGCTAGCACTCAGAAAAAATTATTTTTGACCTTGTTTTTAGGCTTATAATATCATATGGGATGGCCTAGTATTGCAGCTGCACGTGAGCACATCGACTTGCTCGAGAGGGATCAAAGTGGGCATATATAGGCTAGATCAAAATCTAAGTGGGCATATAGGCCTACTATAGGCTAAAGTTACTCATGTCATTTTCACAGAAATGGCCCACGTACATGTATTGCTGAAAGAATGCCTAGGCACTAGGCCAGTGTTGATCCTCGTCCAACTCCTACGATTAGTCTCAACATGTGTGGGTCTTTCCTTTCTCCAGCTCCATAGCATGGTCTCAACGACTAGCTAGGCCTATGAAAAGTATAACTTAGTGTGGAATAATAAATGCAAAATACAATGTGCTTACTCCATATCACGCCGGTGTGCCAGTGATTCCTCAGAAACTAATTTCTTTCGTATGGTCTTGATACACAGAGTCGCTAACGGATTGAAGCTACCAACATGCACCACACCCACCCACGTGTTGTATGTTTGCAAGCAATACCCTGCGCCCCAGAACCAGTGTCCCTGCCGGCGTTCTGCACAGGCGCGGCAGACCGCCTATTCTAACTAACGTCCTCTTAATCTTGCGGCCGTACGTTTTTGTTCTCACAGTCCCGCCCCAACTGAATTTGAATCATTGTTGTGTAGTATGTTGAGGGGGCTCCGCGTAGAGCCGGGGTA